GCAATTTCTCTTTCGTTGTAATTGTTATTCAGCTTACTAGGAGAAATAGTTGCCTCTCCATGTTATTGTATCCATACTTTTATAAATACGTTGAACTGAGAGGCTAACTTTACTCCAGCAAAAGACGTTTAAATGTTTTCATGAGAGTTAAACATTGAACAGAGAATAAATCATTATGTCCACCTTTAATGGTGAAGTAGCATCTTGAGGGCTGGTAGGTTTAGTTCAGTGAGTCAAAGTCAGAGAGCCGTGTCTCTCTACAGCGAGAGGTTTTTGTACGGCGGCTCAATGACTTTGTATCACTGTGGTGGACTTTTGGTGGAGGAACCAGACTGGATGTTGGAAGTAAGTTTCTGCACAAAAACTAAATATGATGACGTTTAAATTCTGTGTTAGAATGTTTGAGAGATAGATATATATTATTTTAATTGTAATGTTTAGATAGTATTAGTATTCATGTCTTTATTCCTCTTCATCATTGAGCCTAAGTCGGAGCATGTTTTCCTGAAATGTCTTTATACATTCCCAACATGCTGTCATTTAAACAGCTTCAGATGTGAAATGATGAAACTGCTAATGTTTCATTCACTTGTTCTTCATTTGTTCTCGATTCTCCCGTCTGTTTTCAAATAAATTACGAATACAGTTTTTAAATACGGTTGAACAGAGTAAAGATAACGATGGATATTTAAAAAATTTGTTGAATTCTTTCAGACATTATTTTAAAGTTTGTAAAACAGGGTAATTATTGAGATTCACATTAAGCTCAATTGATTGTTTCATTTCCCGTATTTGTTCATTTATCCACTAAATAGTTTAATGATGGTTTGTAGAGTTCAGGGTTTGGATGATTTAGACCACAACTATTTAAAATGTGTCCTAATGTTGTACTTTATTTCCAGTGAGACATATTTCAGGTGATTCTGTATGAAGTGTCTCCGTGCTGATTTGCATGAGAGGCTTCTTAAAGGGAAGTGAAACAATGTGTGAGTGAGAGACTGATGGAGCAGAACCAACATCTGACAGAAACTCCTTAAAGGAGAAGCGCTCTCACAGTAAAGGTGTCCCAGTGTCTGCTGGTTGATGGACAGCTGTGTGCTCCCTGTCCTCTAATCTGATTGGTGTCTCCTAGGTGATGTCCAGCCCACCCTGACGGTGCTGCCCCCCTCCACAGAAGAGCTGCAGCAGGGGAAGGCCACGCTCATGTGCCTGGCCAACAAGGGCTTCCCCTCAGACTGGAGTCTGGCCTGGAAGGTGGACGGCAGCAGCAGCTGGGAGGAGAGCAGGAGCCCCGGGGTGCTGGAGAAGGACGCCCACTACAGCTGGAGCAGCACCCTGAAGTTCTCTGCAGACCAGTGGAGGAAGGTGGTCTCTGTGACCTGTGAGGCCACCCAGGGCTCCCAGACTCCGCTCTCAGAGACACTGAGGAGAGACCAGTGTTCCCAGTCCTGAGCTGACTCACTGGGACTCTGCTTTCTCTCTCACACTGCTCTCAGTCTGCTCTCTGGCTCTCAGGACATGTTTCAACATCAACCTGTTTCTGCTTGTGTCGATGGTTTCAACATTTAAAATAATAAAGATTAATGTGTGTATTATAAAAGTGACATGTCTTCTGATTACATTTCTGTAAGATATTATAAAGTAACCTTATTTACATTCATTCACAAAAGTCAAAACATTACCAAGTCAATATTTCCCATATTACTTTCTAATGGTCTTTGGGTTTGGTTATACTTCTGGAATCGCTCTAGTTTTATCTTTGTTAATACAAATTGGTTCCAATAAATATAGTATGAACATCAAGGTAAACCACAAAGCTCTCTCTTATCACTAATGTTTAAGTACATATCAAACCTCCCATTTCTAGGTAAAATCATTGAAAAAGTTGTTTTTCAACAGTTGAGTAATTTCTTGCATTTAAATAACTGTTTTGATGTGTTCCAGTCAGGCTTTCGTCCAAACCACAGCACTGAGACTGCTCTTGTAAAGGTCTTTAATGACATCCACTTAAACACAGACAGTGGCAGAACTTCAGTGTTAGTATTATTAGATCTCAGAGCTGCGTTTGACACTGTTGACCACAGCATATTACTAGACCGACTGGAGAACTGGGTGGGACTTTCGGAAACAGTTCTGAATTGGTTTGAATCCTACTTAAAGGACAGAAACAACTTTGTTTCTATCGGTAAATACACATCTGAGTTGACAAATATGACATGTGGGGTTCCTCAAGGCTCCATCTTGGGGCCTCTTCTCTTTAACATCTACATGCTACCACTGGCTCAGATAATGAAGAACAACAAAATAAGTTACCATAGCTATGCAGATGACACACAAATTTACGTAACAATTTCACCAGGAGACTATGCTCCAGTTAAAACACTGAGTAAGTGCATTGAACAAATCAATGACTGGATGTGTCAGAACTTTCTCCAATTAAACAAAGATAAAACTGAGGTAATGGTTTTTGGAGCCAAGTCAGAACGTATAAAAGTTAGCGCTGAGCTTCAGTCTGCAATGTTCAAAACAACAGATAAAGCCAGAAATCTAGGTGTAGTCATGGACTCTGACCTGAGTTTCAACAGTCACATTAAAACAGTTACTAAATCAGCCTACTATCACCTAAAGAATATATCTAGGATTAAAAGACTAATGTCACAGCAGGATTTGGAAAAAACTTGTCCATGCTTTTATCTTCAGTAGACTCGACTACTGCAATGGTGTCTTCACAGGTCTCACTAAAAAATCTATTAGGAAGCTGCAGCTAATTCAGAACGCTGCTGCTCGAGTCCTCACTAACACTAAGAAAGTGGATCACATCACTCCTGTTCTGAAGTCTTTACACTGGCTTCCTGTGTGTCAAAGAATAGATTTCAAAATACTGCTGCTGGTTTATAAAGCACTGAATGGTTTAGGCCCAAAATACATTTCTGACCTCCTGCTAAATTATGAACCATCCAGATCTCTCAGGTCTTCAGGGACTGGTCAGCTTTCTGTCCCCAGAGTCAGAACTAAACATGGAGAAGCAGCGTTCAGTTATTATGCTCCAAATATCTGGAACAAACTCCCAGAAACCTGCAGGTCCGCTGCAACTCTGACTACTTTTAAATCCAGGCTGAAGACTTTTCTTTTTGTCGCTGCTTTTAATTGAACTATTCATATCTTAGACTGCACTGTAACTTTTATCCATGTACTTTTTTCTTTTAATGTTTAATTGCACTGTAACTTTTATCCATGTATTTTTTCTTTTAATGTTTATTTTATTAGCTTTTCTTTTTAATGACTGATTTTAAATGCCATTTTCTTAATCTCTTTCATTTTTTGTAAAGCACTTTGAATTGCCTTGTGTTGAAAAGTGCTATATAAATAAACTTGCCTTGCCTTGCCTTGCCTTGCCTTACATCCATGTGTGATTTTCATGTGTTGTTAAACTTGAATCTTACAACATATGAATTAAATATTCTAGTTAAAAATATTTTCAGGACCAGAAATAAAAGCAGGGTGTCATCTGCTGAAGTCATATAACATCAATCTAAATTGAGATGACCTTAAATATTATTGAATGGACACAGTACAACTGCGGAATTATTACATGAAAATATTTTTTGCTGATTGAATTAAAACTGATATTATATGAAAACAAAGACTATTTATCACCTTAGCTGTGTCAATGCCACACGGCGCATGACGTGTGTGTTTGTGCACTGCTCAGCTCGTGTGTGTGTGTGTGTGTGTGTGTGTGTGTGTGTGTGTGTGTGTGTGTGTGTGTGTGTGTGTGTGTGTGTGTGTGTGTGTGTGTGTGTGTGTGTGTGTGTGTGTGTGTGTGTGTGTGTGTGTGTGTGTGTGTGTGTGTGTGTGTGTGTGTTCGGTGTGTTTGTGTATGTCCGACACCGGCATTTGTTTTCAAATTACCATGAACAGTAATTTACACACATCTGTCCAACTCCAAAGGTATATGTGTGTGTTCCCAAATGAAATACATGTGTTTAATCTTAATCTCGATGTAGGGCTCAGTGCTGTCGGAGTGCAGGGGAACACTGCGGTCAACTCAGCCGTCTCTCGCGTTTGCTTGGTCAAATCAGCAGCTCTTCATTTTTGAGTGCGCGATTAATAGCGCCTTTACGGTAACCGGCCGAGAAGCGGCACTGACGCAATACAAGAGTACAATAATGCATGTTTTTGTGCTATATTTGAGATTAAAAAATGTATTACCATAAGTTCTTAATAAAATTGACACTGTTGGACTCAGTAGGCTACTTGTTTGACTGCTACCAACAATAAAGTGAACTACTTTTACTGTGTACTTTTTCAGTTATTCTCTGTCAAAGTCCCCTCCTGAGAACAAATTCAAGCCACGTCTGCTATATTTGATGAGTGATAAAATGATTTTTAGCTATATATTCTTAATAAAATTGGTACTGTTGGACTCAGTACTTGTTAAACTACTACCACAAATACAATGAAGTACTTTTACCGTGTACGTTTTGAGTAATGCCCTGTCAAACTCCTGAGTACAATCATTCATGTATTTTGCTATATTTGTTGAGGGATAAAATGATTTGTTACCATAAGTTCTACATGAAATTGATACAGTTGGACTCAGTACTACTTGGACTATTAGCACAAGTACAATCAAGTATTTTTACTCTGTACTTTTTGAGTAATACTTCGTTAAACTCCTGTCCTGAGTACAATAATTCATAGTTCATATACAATACAGGAATTATTGTACTGAGGACGGGAGTTTTACTGAGTATTAATCAAAAAGTACACAGTGTGTGTGTGATGAGTGTGTGTGGGTGTGGTGTGTGTTGTGTGTGTGTGTGTGTGTGTGTGTGTGTGTGTGTGTGTGTGGTGTGGTGTGTGTGTGTGTGTGTGTGTGTGTGTGTGTGTGTGTGTGTGTGTGTTGGTGTGTGTGTGTGTGTGTGTGTGGGTGTGTGTGTGTGTGTGTGTCCTCAGTGAAGTGTATCAGTCTCTGCAGTAGCTTCCAGCTGCAGCAGTCAGTTCAGTTCCTGTTCAGTCTGACTGAGGGAGGTTTTTGTATGACGCTTTTTCACTGTGTGAACCACATACTGACTGTTGGGGAAATGGAAACTCTGACAGTAGTAAACTGCTGCATCATCAGTCTGGACTCCACTGATGGTCAGAGTGAAGTCAGAGTTTGATCCACTGCCTGTAAAACGCTCTGAAATCCCTGATGCTCGAGTGCTAGCATCGTAAATGAGCAGTTTAGGAGTTCCTCCATCTCTCTGTTGGTACCAGGCTAAACGGTGTTTGTCAGTGCTATGTCCATAAACCTTCTGACTGGTCGTACATGTGATGGAGACGGAGCGTCCCGGAGCCGAGCTCACTGCTCCAGACTGAGTCACTGTGACCTGGCCTCTGGACTCTGAGGAGAGACAAAGACAGAAAGCAGCGTCATGGTTTTGTCCGCTTCATTTCAGAGGGACGGATGTTCACAGAGGAGAGGAGTTTGATTCTCTGGACTTTACCTGTGAAGCAGCAGCAGAGGAGAGTCCAGATGAGGACGCAGATCAAAGTCATGTTCTTGATGAGGAGGATTCCTGTGGCTTCTGTTGTCATGAAGGACAGCTGTCAGTCATCCAGTGCTCAACTCTCAGGACTATAAAGTGTCCCAGAGCACTGGAGCATGGTGCTGCTGATGCAAAGTGTCTCTCTATGGAAATGCTCTGACTGACTCCAACAGGGACCTGGATTATTGATCACGAAGAAGAAGAGAAAGAAGATGGACCTCCCCTGGGGGAACATTCAGTTTCCACTCTGTGTTCTTTACACACCTTACAAGCACATAGGTGCACAGGAGCATGTGCCAGGGAGCACTTGGGGGTCCGGTGCCCTGCTCAAGGGCACTGCCGCCCGGACTGGGTCAGGGCTCACTTGTTCTTTCCAAAGAACATTTAAAACTGTCCTATAATTCACTCCCCTCGAATCAAAGCTCTCTTCCTCCACAACAATCTAAAATAAAGCTTTATCAAATGACAATGATTTACATTTTGCCCGATCGATTAGAAAGTTCTTCTTAAGAAATAACGTCATTACATGTACTTCATTCAATATGAGTATTTTGCTTTTTAAATGTCTAACAGCTCATTAAAAAAGATTCAACACTTCTCCATAGTTTGTGAATCTGTTTCAAACATTGGAAGCAGTTATTATATAAAGTGGGTAAACCGTGGATGTGTTTGGTGAGTTTGTTTGTGTCAAAGTCAGAGAGCCGTGTCTCTCTACAGTGAGAGGTTTTTGTACGGCGGCTCAATGACTTTGTATCACTGTGGTACACGTTCGGTGGAGGAACCAGACTGGATGTTGGAAGTAAGTCAAATGTTAATTTATAAGAGCAATTTCTCTTTCGTTGTACTTGTTATTCAGCTTACTAGGAGAAATAGTTGCCTCTCCATGTTATTGTATCCATACTTTTATAAATACGTTGAACTAAGAGGCTAACTTTACTCCAGCAAAAGACGTTTAAATGTTTTCATGAGAGTTAAACATTGAACAGAGAATAAATCATTATGTCCACCTTTAATGGTGAAGTAGCTTCTTGAGGGCTGGTAGGTTTAGTTCAGTGAGTCAAAGTCAGAGAGCCGTGTCTCTCTACAGCGAGAGGTTTTTGTACGGCGGCTCAATGACTTTGTATCACTGTGGTGGACTTTTGGTGGAGGAACCAGACTGGATGTTGGAAGTAAGTTTCTGCACAAAAACTAAATATGATGACGTTTAAATTCTGTGTTAGAATGTTTGAGAGATAGATATATATTATTTTAATTGTAATGTTTAGATAGTATTAGTATTCATGTCTTTATTCCTCTTCATCATTGAGCCTAAGTCGGAGCAGCTTTTCCTGAAATGTCTTTATACATTCCCAACATGCTGTCATTTAAACAGCTTCAGATGTGAAATGATGAAACTGCTAATGTTTCATTCACTTGTTCTTCATTTGTTCTCGATTCTCCCGTCTGTTTTCAAATAAATTACGAATACAGTTTTTAAATACGGTTGAACAGAGTAAAGATAACGATGGATATTTAAAAAGATGTGTTGAATTCGTTCAGACATTATTTTAAAGTTTGTAAAACTGAGTAATTATTGAGATTCACATTAAGCTCAATTGATTGTTTCATTTCCCGTATTTGTTCATTTATCCACTAAATAGTTTAATTATGGTTTGTAGAGTTCAGGTTTTGGATGATTTAGACCACAACTATTTAAAATGTGTCCTAATGTTGTACTTTATTTCCAGTGTGACATATTTCAGGTGATTCTGTATGAAGTGTCTCCGTGCTGATTTGCACGAGAGGCTTCTTGAAGGGAAGTGAAACAATGTGTGAGTGAGAGACTGATGGAGCAGAACCAACATCTGACAGAAACTCCTTAAAGGAGAAGCGCTCTCACAGTAAAGGTGTCCCAGTGTCTGCTGGTTGATCAATAGCTGTGTGCTCCCTGTCCTCTAATCTGATTGGTGTCTCCTAGGTGATGTCCAGCCCACCCTGACGGTGCTGCCCCCCTCCACAGAAGAGCTGCAGCAGGGGAAGGCCACGCTCATGTGCCTGGCCAACAAGGGCTTCCCCTCAGACTGGAGTCTGGCCTGGAAGGTGGACGGCAGTAGCAGCTGGGAGGAGAGCATGAGCCCCGGGGTGCTGGAGAAGGACGCCCACTACAGCTGGAGCAGCACCCTGAGGCTCTCTGCAGACCAGTGGAGGAAGGTGGTCTCTGTGACCTGTGAGGCCACCCAGGGCTCCCAGACTCCGCTCTCAGAGACACTGAGGAGAGACCAGTGTTCCCAGTCCTGAGCTGACTCACTGGGACTCTGCTTTCTCTCTCACTCTGCTCTCAGTCTGCTCTCTGGCTCTCAGGACATGTTTCAACATCAACCTGTTTCTGCTTGTGTCGATGGTTTCAACATTTAAAATAATAAAGATCAATGTGTGTATTATAAAAGTGACATGTCTTCTGGTTACATTTCTGTAAGATATTATAAAGTAACCTTATTCACATTCATTCACAAAAGTCAAAACATTACCAAGTCAATATTTCCCATATCACTTTCTAATGATCTTTGGGTTTGGTTATACTTCTGGAATCATTCTAGTTTTATCTTTGTTAATACAAACTGGTTCCAATAAATATAGTATGAACATCAAGGTAAACCACAAAGCTCTCTCTTATCACTAATGTTTAAGTACATCCATGTGTGATTTTCATGTGTTGTTAAACTTGAATCTTACAACATATGAATTAAATATTCTACTTTAAAATATTTTCAGGACCAGAAATAAAAGCAGGGTGTCATCTGCTGAAGTCATATAACATCAATCTAAATTGAGATGACCTTAAATATTATTGAATGGACACAGTACAACTGAGGAATTATTAAATGAAAATATTTGTTGCTGATTGAATTAAAACTGATATTATATGAAAGCAAAGACTATTTATCACCTTAGCTGTGTCAATGCCACACGGCGCATGACGTGTGTTGATTGATTGATTGAAAAGTTTATTAACAGCTTGTATATTGGGTACAGTACAGTACAGCTCAAAACATACAATTGTTAAGGGGATGCAGACCAGAGAAAGACTTTCGTCTTGTTTACATCAGGGTCCCCCATTTCCAATTCATCATATCATTTAAGACATATAAGACATATTTGACATACAGATGGCTTATTTACAATTTACATTTTAGATTTCGTTCTAATACATCCTAACCGGACATTTAAGACATACCAAGTCTACAGATATACAGTTAGTAACAGAGTCTAAAATGCGAGTATATACATAGATGGGGGGGGGAAGCTGTCCAGTGAACGACAGGTTGAGATTTGTACCATTACCGGGGCCAGTTTTGCAATGCTCTCCCCCGAAGGTGCTCTTTAAGAGAGGTTTTGAAGGTAAGTATAGTTTTACTTTCCTTTACAGTTGTGGGAAGAGCGTTCCACCTTGATGTGGCATAATTGCGAAAACGTGTATTCCCCCTTTTTTGTGCCAAATCTGGGTTTCACATGATTTGTGGAGCTCCCTCTGGTGTTATGATCATGGTATTCCTTGACCTTTGGGAAGAATTTTGACATGTACATGGGTACCATAGAGGTGTAGTGGATCTTGTAGACCAGGCCCATTGCAAGTAGCTGTACTCTGTCGTCTACTCTAAGCCATCCTAGGTTGTCAAAGTGGGCAGAGGTGAGGTGGGTTCTAGATGAAAGGTCAAGCAGTAGTCTGACCAGTTTATTTTGCGATGTTTGAAGTTTTATTTTTAGCGCCTTGGAGGTGCTATGGTACCATGACGGGCAAGCATAGTCATAGTACCCTTGAATGAGTGCTCCTGCCAGAGTTTTCAGGGTGTTTTTGTTTACCAGAGAGGAGATCCGGTATAGGAATCTAGTTCTTTGATTGACTTTTTTTATTACATTGGATGCCATTTTGTCACAGGAGAGGTTTGCCTCAAGAATAGATCCTAGGTATGTAATTTCCTTCCTACTTGTGACAATAATGTCGCCCACTGCAACTGAGAAGTCGTCGGATTTGCTGAGATTATGTTTAGAACCGAAGAGAATGGACTCTGTTTTACCCAGGTGTAATGATAATTTATTATCGGCGAGCCAGGTGCAGATTCTGCCGAGCTCGGAGCTGAGGGTTTTTTCAACCTGCAATCTGCTCCTGTCAGAGACCAGCAGGGCAGAGTCGTCCGCGAACAGGAACAAGTTGCAGTCACATGCTGATGACATGTCGTTTACATAAATTAGGAACAGTAACGGACCTAATATGCTTCCTTGTGGAACACCACAGCTCACTGGGAGGGGGGGGGACAGAGTACCGTTTACCTCCACCATCTGTTCTCTCCCCTCCAGGTAGGACCGCATCCAGCTCACCGATAGTCTATCAAAACCCATTGCTTTTAGCTTGTCAATAAGAATGGGGTGATTGACAGTGTCGAAAGCCTTTTGTAGGTCCAGCATCACCATGCCGCAGTATTTGCCCTCGTCCACCTCTTGTTTGATGTGGTCGCTCAAATAAAGAAGGCATGTGTCAGTGGAGTGGGATGTTCTAAAGCCAGATTGAAATTCATAGATTAGTTTCTTTTCCGCGAGGTACTTTTCGACCTGTTCATATACTATTTTTTCCATGACTTTCGAGATGGAGGTAAGTATAGAAACAGGGCGGTAGTTGCCTGGGTCCAATTTGCTGCCCTTTTTGTGCAGGGGGGTTACTCTTGCAATTTTGAAGTCTTTGGGTACTTTTCCCTGTTTTATGGAGAGGTTAATTATGTGAGCTATGACTGGTGAGATGGCGGTTGCTGTGTCTCTGAGGAATTTGGAGGGGATATTGTCGTGGCCAGTGGCCTTGTGTTTGTGCTCTGCTCAGCTCTGTGGTGTGTGTGTGTGTGTGTGTGTGTGTGTGTGTAGGTGTTTGTGCGTATATGTATGTGTGTGTGTGTGTGTGTGTAGGTGTTTGTGTGGTGTGTGTTGGTATGTCCGACACCGGCATTTGTTTTCAAATTACCATGAACAGTAATTTACACACATCTGTCCAACTCCAAAGGTATATGTGTGTGTTCCCAAATGAAATACATGTGTTTAATCTTAATCTCGATGTAGGGCTCAGTGCTGTCGGAGTGCAGGGGA